AAAAAAAAAAAACCATACATCAAAAAGAAACAAATAATAAGGCGTCTAACATGCATGTAGTGTTCAGATATGGAATAATGGGTTAAGTGCAACATCAAAGCTTTTAGCATCTTCATCCACTCCCACTGATTTTCGTTCTCGTTGCCTGCATGTGATTAGATACGTTGATTAATGAAATATGTAAGACAATCTCGTACCTCAATAGTGTAATCCCATGTAACAAAAAAATTAACGCAACACACGAGCAGGTTTTGGTAGTACAGGAAATGTATTACAAATCATACCGCTACTGTTTCTGGGGACATGTCCGGGTGTTGTGACCTGCCCTCTCACCGCACGTCTTGCATATACGTCTCTTTTTTATGGATTTTTCGATTGCTTGCTCCTTCCTGCTTTTCATCCTTTTCCCACTGCCCTTGTTGTTTGATTTGGCCGGCGGGTGTATGTTCAAATCCGGAGGGGCAGATATGCCGACGAATGTTTCAAATCGATGCTCTTTCGTTCCGGTTGGAACACCTTCCGGTTCAGTCATCAACTTGTGCTTGTGGTTTTCGATAAGTCTTGAAAACTCGACGAGGCGGTCCATGGATGACTCGACCAACCCCATGCATAGATGTATGTCAGACCACACTTTATTCACCATGATTTTCCTATCATCAATTTGAGCACACTGCTCAGTTATACCATCAACGACGCAGAACAATGGGTTCAGGATAGCCAGCTTTGTCCATCTCGATAGAATGTGTGCCGTCGGTATAACCTCAGCGTTCATATCCCTCAACACAACAAAAATGTGCCTGCATAGCCACCCATACAAGTCAAAATGCTTGCAAGAGCATGTGGATGTTTTCAGACTCACCTCGTATAGCACCGTAAATGTCTTGCCATTAATATCTTGGACTTCAAATTTCGTACGCCCATCTTCATCCGATAATTTTATAAGACGACAATGGAAACACGCCGCACATATTTCATTTTGAACGAGGTAGAATATGGCAGTGGTATATACACTCATAGCATGCTTTTCAATAGCCAATGGAGTTTTCAAGTTAGCTAATTGTGATTCACTGTCCGCTTGCAACTTCATTGACGTGTTTCGTTGCGCATCAATTGCACTATCAAAGTGTAGCAAGAATTCGACTAGACTAGCATGACTGTTCATGAAATAGCCGAACCAACTGTTCTCACTCTCCGACCTAGACGTAGTTCTCATTAGCCCGCTCATTTTAACACTTCTAAAGAATGCCGGAATCCAATGTTCCCGCTTTGCATACAAATCAATAAACCAGCTGTGGGTTTCCAGATCGTATTCACGCATGAGTTCAGTCCACTTCGTCTCAAATTCTGGTGGTTCTATTGTTCGATTCCAAACAAGATCGTTAAGTCTGGATTTGAAAGCAGTATCATTATGCAAACTATGCCCTACCTTATCACATAATTTTGACATTATGTGCCACATACAAAAACGATGCCTCGACGTATTAAATACTTTAGGAAAGGCGATTCCAATCGAGGGATCTTGGTCAGTGACAATGTATTCTGGCTCTCGTATCATGGCGGCTTTGAAATTTTTAAACACCCAAACATAAGAACCCACGTCCTCCTTCGATATCAAGGCTGCCGCAAAAGTAACACACTTGTTGTGGTTATCAATCCCTGTGAAGGGAGCAAACACCATGTTGTATCTGCAAATATAACCATTGAGTGTTAACAAGGTGTTAACAGGGTAGTATAAAAATGATATGCGGTGCATCCTGTAATTATGTACAGTGCAACAAATAATGATATTTCGTGCATTCAGTAATTACGTAATAATTATGTAATACAATGCAACCAAAGGTAGTATAATGTTCAGCACTGAACGATATGCGGTGCATCCTGTAATTATGTACAGTGCAACAAATACTGATAGTTTGTGCATTCAGTAATTACGTAATAATTATGTAATACAATGCAACCAATTGTAGTATAATGTTCAGCACTAAATGATATGCGGTGCATCCTGTAATTATGTACAGTGCAACAAATAATGATAGTTTGTGCATTCAGTGTTTACGTAGTAATTATCTAATACAATGCAACCAGATGGTAAGTTACCTGTTTGTGCGATATGTTGCATCAAATGTCACGACATCCCCGAATGATCCATAATTCCGCCTCGAAATCGGATCTGCCCAGAAAAGTCGTTGCAAGCAGTCGTTATTGTCTACTTCGTAGTGAAAGTAGAAGGCGGTGCTATGTTCTTGCCTCTTATAGAACTTGTCGATAACCAATTGCGCGTCCGCTCCTGAAATGTAAGCAAGGAGTTCCCGTTTGAAGTTCTTGAAATCCACGCTGGTGGCACCAATACCGGAATATCCTCCCACAATTTCTTTGTACAGCTTGTATGATTTGACAGGCCCTATGTTTGCCTTTATACAATTCAAAACAAAACTTTGATGTCCTGCATTCATGGTTCTGTTGATTTTGAGATGTTGTCTGCATGCTTCAGAAGTCATTGAGTGGTTATGTCTATCCTCGAAAGAGCTGACAATATACCCGTTGAGCCCGTCTACACGCAACACTATCCTCGCAACACAACCCACACGGTTAGATACTCGTCGCCGTTTTACGTGCCCATCGGTTGCGACTGACTGGACAACACGTGCGTTGTGTTTATAACCCTCTCGCGAGCATACCATATATTTCCAAAGTATAGTCTTATTATCACGTGCCTTGATCAACGTGCTCTGGCGTACATCGAAACCTACAGCATATGCGTATGTCTTATAGAAGGTGATTGCATCGTCCAGTTTTCGGAATTTTTGCCCCTTATAAGGTTTAAGGGGATCATCACACTGTGGTACCCAATACCTAGTGCCACCAGGAGTGACTGACATCTGCTGACGACCTATGTATGATGACGGTGTCCCTGTAGACGCATGCAATAAGTCGATCAGATTGCACAATTGTATACATAATAATGCACATTTACAGCTTGACACATGAACATTATAGAAACAGTACAAAAAAGGTAAAGAATATATCAGATGTCAAACAAAAACACAGTATGTCAAACACAAAAGATAGATGTCAAACATATAAACACATATAGATGTCAAACACAAGATATATGTCAATCGCATACACACACATAGAGGTCAAACACAGCAGGGCATACATTAGTGATATTGTCATGCACCATATTGTGCTAGTTGCACAATACTACTCAGAATATTGCACAAATCATTGAATACATGTGCACGTTACGCGTACGAGGACTCATTGCATTTTATGCATTGTAAAAAGATGAAACGTTGGTCCATACCCGTCTGAGCAACATCCGGTTCCATCGTCGTCTTGTGCGGTGCAACAGTAGGAAAGCAGTACAACGTGTGTTCTATAGATATGCCTGACATTCACAATAGATTAAAAACAAAAAAAAAAAAAAAAAAAAAAAAAAAAAAAAAAAAAATGACAAAACGTTAATCGAGCTGATGCAGGTTGAATTAAAGCCCTAAATTCTAACAACGTACATACCTCGATTTCGATTTTTTGCCCCTAACCAAGGTTTGTTCACGATGCTGATGCAGGTGATGCAGGTTCCATATTTGATGAAATTCAATTTGAGAGCCTTTCTAGCTTGGAGATTTGGGATTTTTCATAGATTTTGATTTCGATCTTCTGGATGTCGACGTCGAGCTTGGAGGTTTAGGATTTAAAATCGAGCTGAGAGAATGGCGTTTGATGTTTGGGTTTTTTCACGGTTTCGCGTCTGATGTCGAATTTAATATCGAGCTGGGAGAATGGCTTAGGGCTGCGCGTTGCGTAATTACGAAATCGCCCTTCCAGTTAGGTGAAAGTGAACTGATGCTGTCCGCGAGATTAAGTGAATCGTGTGGTAGAGATTTATTCTTATTTCTCTCGGTAAGCACCATTCTCACCGGAGCGCGACCCTATATATATATATATCGCGCTCCGGTGAGAATGGTGCTCAGTGAAAGAAATAAGAATAAATCGTAGCCATTAGATCATATGATCTAATGGCTCAAAAAAATGTTAATATTTATACTCATTAAGGGTAATGTAGTAATTAATTACAACATACACAAACAATATTAATATCATGTGGACCCTACTAGAAATCAACAACACATCCCAACCAATGTGATCCACTTTTTACGTCTCTCTCTCTCTCTCTCTCCTCTCTCTCTCTCTCTCTCAGGCCCTGCGATTGCAAAATCTGAATCTCACCGGCACCTCTCTCATTAACTCTCCGACGTCCGCAATTCGATGGCGACGGTGGCGACACCAGGAGCCCCGGCGACAAAGACATGCTCCGGAGTTGTAAACTCGCCGGAAAAAGCAACAACGGCGGTGGCAAGGTGAGAGCGACAGGTACGGGTGAAGGTCGTCTGACGGAGCCGAGCCAGAGTCGGTCCATGCTCTGGCGGAGCAACCCGATGCTCCGTCGCCATCGCCGAGCAACCGCCACCGTCGGAACCGCCATCACAGTCAATTTCCGTCTACCTTCACAAGAGTGCTGCGCCGCCGTTCAAATCGCCGTCTCCGGCATCATCCACCGCCAAGCTCGACATAAACCTCCTCGGTTCAGATGCAGCATCACCAGAAAAAAATCGACCTTCAAGCTCGAAGGTCGAGCTTCAATGGCGGTTTTTGAAAAAAAGAAAAAAAAAAAAAACATNAAAAAAAAAAAAAAAACCATCGTCGGACGTCGCCGGACAGCGGCAGCTGAAGACTGCGACGCCGTAAGTCGCCGGACGGAGAAGCTGATGGAGGATGAATAGAATTAACATTTGATAATTCCCTCCCAGATCTGTTGCTGCGTTTTCTATAATTTTAGTCAATTTGGGGCTGGGTTGGTTTTTGTAAATTTGACAAGTCTCAATGACTTATTTGCAATTTCTATAATTTTAGTTCTGTTACATTTTTGGTCAAATATGTAATTTACAAGTATAATAAATGCACATTGATACTAAGCAAATTGCACAAAATTGATTAACTATATGCACATTATAATTGTCTACATTTTATATATATATATATATATATTATATTTTTTTCAACCATCATTAATATAAAATATGAAAATACTAAATGTATTATTTATAATAAAAAATAATAAATTATTTTAATTATTTGCGTTATTTTGATTAACCAATCGGATAACTCAATCATTTCAGTTAATTTTTGGTAATAATCGTGATGCACATTAACGATTATCTTAATGCACAATAATACTAAATTAAATGCACATTAATTCGTTTGGTAATGCACATTAGCATGACAACGATCACTTTCACAATATATTACAATTTTAGATACTTCAGATCGATTTTGATAAAATATAAATAAATAATAATAATATCAGAACCGACCGAAATACAATAAAAAACATTGTTTTATTATATGTATATACTTTTTTTTTTAATTTTTGACAAACAACAATAAAAAATATTAAATACAAATTGTGGCTACTAAATATATATTTTATTTTATAAATAATTTGATAAGTGCACAATAATATTAATTAAATTACACATTATTTAAAAATTTTAAACTGTATATTTTTTTTAAATATTTTTAATTAAAATAAAAATTATTAAAAATATTATTTTTATATTTTATTATATACATGTATATTAAATAATAAATAAAAAATCAAATTAATATAAAATGTAAAAATAATATAAAATAATAATAAATAAATTTTTATAATATAAATAATACATTAATTTGATTATTTCAATTTGATTTTAGTTCTTATTTGCACATAAAAAAGTCTTTGTTGCTGAATGCACAATGTTATTAAACGAGATGCACATTATTGTCTGTTATGTTGCACAATAGTGTCAGAAAGAATGCACATTAATACGTACCAGTATGAACATTACCATAAAACTATATTTTTGCACAAATATTAAAAATTTGACTAATATGATTTATAAATAATAAATAATTTCTATTATTTAAGTTAATTCAGTTATCCCAATCGAATAAATAAAGTTAATTCAATTAATAATTTATTTCAATTATTTACGTCAATTCGGTTAACTAGGTTAATCGATAGTTTAAATTTGTACAAAAGATTGGTTGGTTCAACCTGCACAATACAAACCGACGCCGTGCACCATAGTGATGTACGAATTGCACCTTAGTACTTCTTAGATTGCACCTTATATTTCGTTTATATATATACAATTTTTTTAATTAAAAAATAATATAAAATGCAAGAAAAAAATATAATTACTAATCGTGTTCTTTTATAATATAATTTATGTCAGTTATTTCGATTATTTATGTTAACCGAAAAATTAAACCGTTTATGTCAAAACCAAACTTTTCATTTCGAATTTTAAAATTTCGGTTCAGTTATCACTTTTTACATTAAAAAACTCGATTATGTCAATTAGTTTTCGACGTTTTCTTTGATTTATTTAGATAACAAAAAATCTCTAATATTATTATTTATTATTATTATGTAAAAATATTATTATTTTTTTATTGTGCATCTTCCCAACCACATCTTATTCATAATTATTGTGCATTTATTTAACTTTCATTATATTACATATTGGCCCTAAGTACTAAATTGTAAATATATTAAAAGTTAAGAATTGCAGAAAAGTCCCCTCACCATGTCTAATTTTCAAAAATATGCCCCAATACCAGATCTGTAAAATCTCGTCCCAGCTCATGCTATTCATATTTCATAATTCCTCTACTAACTTATTTATATTATAATTAAAGTATTTAAAAAAATGGCAATTATCAACTAATTGATTTCATCCCCAAATCAACTTCATCTTCCCCAAATAGATTTGTGAACAGGAAAAGGTTAAATCCCTCCGTCGCCTTTCTCTCCCTTCAAATCGCCGCCGTCGCCTGTCCAGTTCCGGCCGTCACTCCCGCCGCCGACCACGTCCGGTCAGATCGCCGTGCTCGTTGACTCCTTCGTCGACCTCGCTAGTCGTTCCATCGGCTGCGATTTGGCATCTGCTCCGACCATATACTGTAATTATCAGAACCCGGCGCCGCCGCACTCAGCGGCGTCGGTCCACTGTGCAACTCCTCCTCTCATAGCCATCGGGTGGTGCGGCCGGTGACGGGAATGGTAGTGGCTGGGACATCGACCGGAGCTGAGTGTGTGTTTGTTTGTGTGCGATACGGGCGACGAGCTGCAGTTGATGAAGGCCAGAATATGGCGGAGGATTTCCAGGTCTCAGTCGACGACGTCGGAGTGGCCGTTGTCGGCATCGAGTCGCTGTCATCTTGCCGGAGTCTCGTCGGCGGGCGGCGCCGCTACAATGGGGGGATGCACCGGTGGACTGTGGCCGCGCAGGGCGGCGGGAATTGCGGCGGCGGGTTTCTGTGTGAAGGCTGGATCCGACGGATCTCGTGGTGTCTGCCGCCGTGGTGTGTGTGTGTGTGCAACGGATTGTGAAGGAAGAGAGTACGGTGATGAGAGAGAGACAATAGATATTAAATGATGTGTGGGTCCCACATAATATATGTGTAATGACTAACTTACCCTTAATTATTGGTCAGATGTGCATATTTGACCCATTATGATCAAATAATTACTAGATTGCCATTAATGATTGACCATAGTTTGACTTCATCATAACCATTGATATGATTGATCATATGGTCCAGATTTATTCTTATTTCTTACACCAACTCCCTTTCTCATATGATCCAAATTCTATATATATATATATATATATATTTATCTCATTACAATTAAAATCTAACATATTGANATATATATATATTGCAATATTATTTCTTCCATGATTGAGAAAAAATGTTTATTTGCATATATCACGAAAGATCTGAACAGATTTATATTCTATATATATTTTTTATTATCTATATAAAATATGAGTGCTTTTCGAAATAAGATTTTTTGGTCGTACTAATCAAAACGTGTTTCTGTTTTGACAAAGAAAGACAAAATTTTAAAATGATGATTTGTGGTGAATTTTCTCTTATCAGAGCGTGTAATCAAAATCTATTACCAACGGGGTGTTTATATAGTGCGTATATGTGTGCTAAACAATGTATACCTTTTTTTTTAATATATTATTTTCTAAAATAATATGGATGAATATTAAATTGAGATCTTAAAAAGAAAGAAAGTAAATCAAATTTTGAGATTTAAAGATGTGTAAATTAGAATTAGAATCTCACATATAATACGTATGATATATATTCCATGTTTGAGAAATAAATTGTTATTTGTACATATCATGAAAGATATGAATTTAAGATATATACAAAAGGTTAAAAATATAAATTGAATCTTTGATTAATATATTATATGTATTTGAATGATAGGAGTGAAGATTATGTGGTGGACTGAATATTTCGGATTTCTATATAATTTTGGTGTTTTAGATGAATCAGGATCTCTATATATTATATGTGTATTTAACATAGATGAAAGATATGAACCGATTTATATTATATATATATATATATATTTTTATTAACTAATCGAAAAGAAAAACAACTAATAATTTTTTTTCGTATTAAAAACAAAACAAAATTCTATACAGATTTATAAAAGATGAAACATACTTATCATAAAAGTATTGAGATATTTATGCACACGTTTCATTTGAATATTAGAATTTTTTAGGTTTGGGTAATTGACTCTTTATTGTGATCTTGCAGGTATGAAATCTAATACGGCTATTTGGAACCAACTGGTTTACTCGAACCAAATTTGAGGATTGTATTTAGAAGATTGTATTTAACAACTATTATATAATTAATTAAGGAATTGAGTATCAAGAAATTTGAGAACTCTATTAATATAATTAATTAAAGGGTAAATAATGATTTGCAACTTGTACTATACTCGAATTTGGAGTTTGCAACCTAAAGAATTGTTTGTACTAAATTGCAACCTTTAATACACGATTTGTCTATATCGCAACCTCCGACCGTCGGAGGTCTAATTTTCACCGGAAAAGCAAGCGTGCCACACACACGTACCGAATTTGAGGGTAAAAATGTGATTTCATCTCTCATCATCCTTCCTCTTTTCATCTTTCTCTCTCACACACACTCCCACATGGTCAAATTCAAGGGCACCGCAGGGAACCGCCATCCGCCGCAGTGCCTGGGAAAAGGAGCCCTACTTTGTTGCCGGTGGAGTCTCACGCAGTCAAATTCGACTTCAATCTGGACGGATTTATCAAAATTATTGCCTCAGATCTGAAGAGGAAGAGCAATTGAAATTTCAAGATATGTTGTTCGAAATTTCTCTTTGCTCTGTTCATCTTCTTTCTCGCAGCCCTCATCTACGGTGGCGCTTTTGACCTCGCAGGATGGAAATGAAGAGCTCGTGCTCGTCGTTTTTCACGACAATGGCAACAATGCTAACCAGCTCGATCAAAAGCCGAGAGTAATTACTAATTCGAGACCGATTTTCAATTTTTTTGAACTAAAAAAAAAAAGAAAAGAAAAAAAGAAAGGGATATATTAATTTATTAATCACTCGAATTTGCAGTCGTTTTTCTTGGCCGAAAATCCGACAAGAGGACAACAGCAAGAACAGCACAGAGGACAAGGCCGGCCACATCTGGGGAATGTTTTCAGGGGTTTCGGTACATAGACTATTGCGGAGGTTTTCAAGGTGGGCGAGGAGACTGCAAGGAAGCTTCAGGGGCAAAACGATGAGAAGGGCCATATTGTGAAGGTTGATGAGGGACTTCAGGTGATTAGGCCGTCGGAGTACAATCGCCGTGAAGGGAGGAGGAGGAGAGGTACTATGGCGGGCTGGAGAGAGAGAGAGTGAGAGAGAGAGGATGAAAGAGAAAGGATGAAGAGAGATAAAATGATATTTTTACCCTCAAATTTGGTACGTGTGAGTGACATGCTTGCTTTTCCGGTGAAAAATGGACCTCCGACGGCCGGAGATTGCGATATAGACAAATCGTGTATTAAAGGTTGCAATTTAGTACAAAAAATTCTTTAGGTTGCAAACTCCAAATTCGCGTATAGTACAAGTTGCAAATTATTATTTACCCTTAATTAAATAATTGAGTCACATTTTTTTAAGTTGTAATTATTAGAATGAGATCCCAACACTTCAGTCGCAAGTTACGGGTAATTGCATTTAAAATAAATGAAATCCAAATCCAAAAAAAAACTGAAAACGTGCATGAAAAAAGTTCAAACAAAATTTTAGAGGGAAAAAAAGGTTTTAAGCGGCAAAATGAAAATATTTTTAAATAATTTTTCTTCTCTTTATTTTATAGTAATAGATGCGATTATTATTTCGAATATTATTTTGTGACTA